GTCTGTGTACACGAGGCGCACAGCGGGGATTCGATGGAAGAGCGGCGCTCGCTGCCACAAAGCGTTCGGACGCGGCTCTTTCTTTCGCTTTGAAGTTAATTAAAATGGGAATGGCAGCCGCCCTCACCGCCGCCCTCAGCGCCGCCCTCAGCGCCATCCCCATCTGCGGGCTCCCAGACACGGCGATGGAAAGGTCAAGTGTAAATGTCGAGGCCGGCGGCTGCAGAACAAACAAATGCTGCGACCATCAACAACGCCGAGAACAAACATCAGCCGTCCGCAGCAACAAAGAAAAACTTCCCAACATGCCGGATCAATGGAGCGGCGTCATTCCGAGGAGAAATACACCAGGAAAGGGCAACCGGGGCCCCTGGAGGAGACCCCACACGAAGCAAAAATGGCGGGTGGAGGGGGGGGCAGGAGCTCCGATATTCTACAATCAAAAATCACGCCGGGAGAGGAAATGGCCGCTTATAGCTAATTTGGCCCTAAAGTGTGCAAGGATGATATAGACATTAGAGTGTAAGCTCTTCTGTACAGAGACTGATGTGACTGTGGGGGAGGGGGCATTAGAGTGTATGCTCTTCTGTACAGAGACTGATGTGACTGTGGGGGAGGGGGCATTAGAGTGTAAGCTCCTCTGTACAGAGACTGATGTGACTGTGGGGGGGAGGGGACATTAGAGTGTCAGCTCCTCTGTACAGAGACTGATGTGACTGTGAGGGATGGCGAGCGATGGCGAAGGCTGCTGGATTTAGTCAACAACAAGTTTCCATGGCAATATCTGCGGTATTATTGGCGGATTTCTGGAGGAAACGGATAATTGGCTCCTTCCAGCTCGTCTGCTGTCAATTAAGCTCGGCCTGCGTTCTATACAATGTATATGTGCAGCAACCGCGCAGACACTCGTATTCCGGGGACTGATGATCTCCAATAGGGGCAACTGTTTGGGGGGGGTGACCGTCCCGCGGAGTGCGCTATTTCCTGATTTACAATCTCCTTATCTGATTATTTTGTTTTTCTGAAATGTGGAAAGTTCCCAAACAAAAGATCAGAACCGATGTCACCGAAAGAGTGTTTATGGTGAAGTGTGCCGAATGCACCGGGGAGAGGCCCCAGAACAATGACACACTGACACTTGGGGGCCCAGCACGTGTGAGGTTGGCTCTCACCTCGGGCAGATCTCCCCCATTCACCTCTTGCTGAGTTGTAGGAAATCCACTGGCAGTGTGACAGATGGCTCCCTCCGCTCCCTCCGCTTATCCGTAGGTAATTCAGATTATGACATCACTGAGGAGTAGATGTCGGCTGTTTGTTACATTGACGAATCACAAACATGGATTTATTATATTTTTTTTTACATGTGTGAATCCTGTGACTGCCGGCTGCGTGCGCACACATTCGACACAGCATGTCGGATCTCATTCAGCCTCCGGGTCTTCATTACCAATTGTAGATTCCATCGGAAGCCCATGTGACAGGGTGACAACGCAGGAGTACAATTGGGATGCAGGGACAGATTGTTGTCAATCTGTTTTTAAGCGAGGGAGCCGCTGTCGCAGCAAAATGGCGGAGCGTTGAGGAGAGAGAGACGCTCGGCCTGGATCTGACAGCCGTCTGTTCTCTCTCTTTTCACCGCTCGGCCATGCTGCTGTGACAGCGGCTCCACAACCCCCCCCCCCTTCCTTCACTTCTCCTTGGATGCCCGCACAGATGGGGAGAGCAGCGGGGATCCAGAGGAGAAGCTGCAGGCTGAGCCCCCCCTCTGTGCGTGGCCGAGCGGCGGAGGATCGGTACATTTCAGTGATATTTACCAATTCTCTGTGCAGGACAAACACCGGAGCGATCAGCTGATCACTGTAAATAACTGGGGACTTGTAGTACTATGTGTCTCCAGTTATGAATGAACAGGAAGTGCATTACATCACTTCCTGTTCATTCATGAGTTTCTCAATGGGGAGTAGCACTCAGTACAGGGGCTCCTCTAGGAGAACTTTGGCTCCGGCCCTCACTGCAGCATTGCCGGCCGTCATTGGCGGTTTGTGATTCTCTGGGGGAAGGAGTTTTTTGTAACACGTTCCCGGCTCCTATCGATTTCCTGTCCTTGGCTGCCTGTGCACCAGACTCTGACGTCACCATTTCTGCGGAACGTCTGGCTGGAACTGCTGACTAGTGTTTGGACTTAAAGACGGACTTACAATATAAGAGTTCAGTTGGCAGCGTGAGGGGTGGACTGTGGAGAACACTTTTTGGATGAAGGTCCTCAAAAACCTGCTGGCGGCAATTTCAAAATGAAGTAGCTTTATTGAACCCGGACAAACGAGCACGGAGCCCCACCTGGGACAACCTCCACTGATGCATTTCACCCAATAAATTCTTCTCGACCAAAAAAGCCGAGAGATCCGTTTGTTTTGCTTTCCGGAGATTTCTTCGACCTGTTTACAGACCCCTAATGTCACCTGGGGACCCCAAAGAAGCCGAGATCTGCTTCCCCAGCTTCTTCCTCTGGCCCTAGGAGCCAGAGAATGTGCCCAGTGACACCGGAAGTGATGTAATGCACGTCACTTCCGGGTCCAGCGATCGGAGGAGAGATCAGCAGCTGGAAACCTCCGATCCATCAGGGGAGACCCTCCACGCCGGGCCCGGGCTCACACGAGGGACAGCGGAACACAGGAAGCTGACGGTGGGGGTGACACACAGCGCCGCACAGTACAAGTGATCCGGTGCCGGTATGGACGCCGGAACACTTGTATTTAAAGGAGAACTATGGGGGTTAAGTCTTTTCCCCATAGTTCCCCTTAGGGTAACGGGAGGACACAAACTAGCGTCCTCCCGTCACCCTAAGCTCAGTATATAGGAAGCTACAGCTCGCGGTATACTGAGACGCTGAAGCGGATCCCGACAATTGTGCTGGGATCTGCCCAGCTGCGTGACTGACAGCTGGCTCTGCCTATCTAGAGGCAGAGCCAGCTGTACCCGCCCCCTCCCCCATCCGTTCCACCAGTCAGCGCTGGCGGATCGGA